TTGAGTTTTGGAAATAACTAACAATGTTCGCAATATACCGCATCTAGTTTAGGAGAATAACATAGCCACAACCTCTGAACCGTACCATACTTTGTTGAGGTTTTATAAAACTCCTTTGAAATCTTACAATTTTTTGAGATGGATCTTCTTTAAGGTCCTCGTAGTTAACAGAAACCAGATAAAATAATAATTTCTTTTATATCATCTATTAATATTTTGTTCTGAAAATCTGCAATGTCAGTGGAAAATAATCTTTCTCAAACTTATTATTTATATCTTCTTCGTCTAAGTTTATTGTATTTTCACTTAAATCTTCACTACAATGATATAATATTTTATGCTCTTTTGGAGTCGTCATGAATATTATCTTTGATGCGGTTGCTTTCATTGTTTTCTAACTCTTGTGATTCATTTTCACCTTTTGTGCCCCCCCCCCCCACTTCAAAACTGTGTTGTCGGCCCTGTTGTATTTCTTTCGATTTTTGGTCAGACGTTACTGTAATACAGGGTTGAAATTTTTTAAATTGATATTAATTTTTAAACACTAAAGTTCCTTCAAAAAATATGGCCCCCTAACAGCTCTGCAACCCCCTCAAATTGAGGGGGTTTAAACTTTATATGGTCATAACTTTTGAACACTAAAATATTTTACTATGAAATTTAAAACTTCTCGATGAATATAAGTCTAGTTAAAAATAGTATAAAAAATATTTCATCAACTTGTTGCTCTCACGTTTGCGGCAGAAAGGGCTAAGATTTTAGGGTTTCTTGTTCCCATTCTCCTATCACAGTAATTTTTTTTTAAATTCTTTTCGTCATACATATGAAAGTAAAAAAATTCGAATATTCTTGTTGTTTATAAGGTGGATATTTTAAACATTTAAAAACTTTCCTACGCGACTATATGTGTGTATGTATATATATAAACTAGCTGTCATGACCCGTAAAATACGGATCTTAGTAAATTTTTTCCACATCACTCTTATTTCTATCTATCTTATTCCTTACTTCAATATTATGTAGTGAGCTGTATAAAAATAGCTATATACAAAAAAAAAGGTAATACACTACCGTCCATAATTATTCAAAAAGTAATATTTTTTGAAATAAGATATCAAAGTTTGGGGGAAAAACCGAAAACAATATCTACCTAAATTATATGTTATCTTCCTATTTATTAGGATTACAAATAAAATTACCCTGATTAGTTTATAATTTATTAAAAAATCTGATTACTTTATAATTTACTTGCCTGTTATTCACGCTTAGCTACAATAACCGCCATATATACTCTTAGCATTCTATTTAACGACTAATCTAATTAGTAAATTTTATGTCACTAAGTTTTTTGAAAAAAGAAAAAAATACACCACGTTTTAATTGTAAATCAATTTTTTTATACATAACAAAACAAAATAAACAAAAAGTTTTATTTACAAAAAAAATCAAACAACAACAGCATCATCAAAAATTGGTTGAGAAACTACAAAAATACTAATTATAGATATAGCGCATTTTTCCCACTGCTCTCTCTTCTCATATTTTATTTTTTACAGAATCCAAACTCCTAACTAAAAAAAGAAAAAAGGTGAGGAAGAGTGAACTTTTGCCCAAAATTAGGGCCCACAAGTTATGTGCCTTGTCAGATGTGGGCCCTTTATTTGAACTGCAATATGCTGAAAAAGCGTTTTAATATATAAGATGAAAAAAAATTTAAATGATAAAAATGATAAACATAAATTGATACTACAAATCAATTTGCCTGCTGCTGATATTTTTTTTTTTAGCATTGTTAAAAATGGTCAAATTATGAAAAGAAAAGGAATTTATTGCAAAGATAATTACACAAAATAAAAACATGAAAGATATCCATCCAGTCGGAATCACGTGACTATATCGCGAAATCAAAAGTAACCACATTTAATTGGGGGAAAACAAACTATTCTTTCTTATACGCAAAATTAAGAAAACATTACTTAATGATTTAATGTCCTACAATTACTTTAAAAATTATTCAAAAGAAACGACGAATAGATGACTGCAAAATAAAAGTCTCTTAGGTGATTTTACTTTATTTTTACATACTTTTAGATCTCTGTTTAAATAAAATGACGCCTTACATTGTTGTCTGCATATTATTTTGGTTATTTCAACGTATAAAAAGTATTGTTATTTTGATATTTACTTACCAGTACTAAATTAAGATGCAAATTAAAAGTAACCCACCAGTAAAAAAGTGTACCGAACAAACATAAACATTACACGATTTTAGGAAACCATTGCTTGCTACATGAACTACTATCTACAGCACGATTTATCGTATTCGACCGCTTTCTTTTAAGTTCTTCATCTTTAGGAAAACTAAAGTTTTTTATTTTTATTTTATTTTGTTAGTGCAACCAACTACACAACAACTATTTAGGAATTAAAAAAAAAAATAACTTAACAAAGCGCAACTGATTTTTTAGTTTGTTTTCCCCCAATTTAAGATGGTTAATTTTAAAACAATAATTTAAATACGGAGTGACGTCACGCCGACAAGATAGATCAGTGCAAACAAATTTTGTAAATTGATTAAAAAATATAACAATTCTTACCTTGATTGCGACAAATTAATTTCTTTTTAAACTATTAGCTAATGATCAACAAAGTAAATTTTAAATAATTAAAGTTTACTAAGTTAAAAACATATTTTAACAGAAGATGAAGTAAACTTATGATAGTTTGATTGAAAGAAATAAAACTACTAAATTTAAAATGTTTGTAATATATAATATTTGCAGTTATGCATAAAAAATAACTCTACCATCATGAAATAATAAAAATAAAATTTTAAAAAAATGTTTAATTTTCTTGAAAATGCAATCTTTTTAATTAAAAACATAATGTTTTCATTGACAGATAAGGACAGATCGATAAACATAAACAGTGAGCAATTGATTTTTAAGTTTTTTTTTACGAATATGTTGTAAGTACTTATTAGATACCCCCTAATTCAGGATTATTGTTGATTAATTTGAAAATTATCCACTGCAATTAAAAGTATTTACAAAATCTTAGCTGACATTAAAAATTTATTTTAACATGGATAATCATAAACACCGTCATAGCAGCAACACACTTTAATATCTTGCATGTTCTACTGACTAAAATTTTGATGGTGTTTAGTCTAGAAACAGAACCTTTTCGATAAAAATTTTTTAAAAGCATAACTTAATATTAAAAAAAAAAAAGACATTTGAAATTGAAAAAAAAACTGAAAAAAAAGCTGTTGTGAATTGTTTATAAAGTAAATTTAAAATAATTTTTTAAAGTAAATTTAACTTTATAAAATCTAACCTGAATACTAACCAACACCAGACAATAACACTGCACTAATTAAGTACATCTAAAAAAATTATTGACTCTGAAATTAAATCCTGTAATGATAAATAAAATGAACCCATCTGTTTCTAACATTGTTAATAACTTAAATATAAGATACTTTAAGCTTCCATACAATGGAATGTACTCTAATTATACTAAAATGAAAATTTTAAAAATTGTTCATAAATATTCCAAGGATGTTCTAATAAAATTAATTTTTACTACTAATTGTAAATACAAGATTGTTTTTGATTAAAAGAGTCACTTCCTAAATTGCTTAAATCTCATGTTGTCTATAAATTTTCTTGCGCTGGCTGTAAAAGTTTTTATTATAGTAAAATGATCTTTTGAAAATGTAAATAAGTTTTACGAAACCTGTCAAGAATAAAAAACATTGTGTTATTTTTAAAAATAATTACTTATTTTATGCTATAAAGACGATCAAAAAAGTATATATATATATATATATTTATATTTTGGTTTTATATAAATAAAGTATATTTAGTAATTATACCATTTATGATAATTATAATAAAAGATTCTAAGATATTTCAGGAAATACAAAACTCACCGCGTGTTCATCTACAATGCCTCGTGCATTATCAGTTAATAGCGGTTCAAGTTGGCTCTTCCAATATTATACGGTAACAGTAAAACTATTTAAAAATCTTTAAAAGCTTTTATATCGTAGCAGGTAATATTTCTTTGGTAAATTAAAAAAGGCGTTATTCCAAAAGTTTTTGTTGTAAAACACGAAATTTGAAATAACTCAAAATATTTTATGTGATTCTTGAATTTTCTAAAAAAATGAAGTTCTCTAAGAAGGCTCTTGATTAAATTCATATGAAATAATCTTACCAACTATGAAATGTATAGGTAACAAACAAGTTTGGGTTTGTCTAAATTTTGGAGTTGTAAAGTTTTCAGTTGCTTGTATTTACAAGTCACCGAATTCATGAGAATTTACAAATGATAAAATTATAAGTATCATAAAAAAATGAAAGCAAATTAATTGAAAGTAAAGTCTTTTATTGGGCAATATTTTAGGACTTTCATGTTATCAGGCTCCACTCATCACCATTTTTTGCAAGGCATTCTTATTTGACATAAGTACATACATATAAATGTTTGGAGTTTGCTTCATGTCTAGAACTTAGCTCAAACACCAAAACAAGCTGGATACGTCCTTGTCTATATAAAAATCCTCGTTTTTTAAAATTTATTACTAAATATATACTAAATTTGACTTGTCTAAAGGGTCTATTTTTGCCTACTGACCTGTCTAAAAAGGGCAAATTTGCAGACTAAATGAAGAAAAAATTCATTGATGAAGGAAGAGGAAAGGGGGGAGAGTGTCACGCACCCACCCTTCGCACCGGTATAAATATATATATATATATACATATATATATATGTATACATATATATATATATATATATATATATATATATATATATATATATATATATATATATATATATATATATATAATATATATATATATATATATATATATATATATATATATATATATATATATATATATATATATATATTTGTATACATATATATATATATACATTTTTAGGTTTTTTTATTTTTATATATAAACTTTATTAACTTTGTGTTCTAGAAATTATTATTTATTCAAGAATATATTGAAAAGGATGGCTGGTATAACAGAAGATTTAAATCAAATTAAATGGAGCGATGAATCTCTTCCATTATCAAAGTTTGTCACGAAATACCCTTTACCCCAGATTGTGCAAGTTGAAAATGGATACGATGGAGGCCTTGATGAAAACTCGCTTAGCTCAGGTCAAATTTTAAAGATTCATAAATTGACTGTTGAACGTAAACTATTATGTTACGATCGAAACAATAAAGAAATTTGCATTTCTGCTTCGACAGACCAAAAAGTAATTTTACATACTCAAAACTATGACATAATCTACAAAACTGTGGCTGACCTTGCTAAGGCCAAACCATTGCCAGCATATGTTGAAGTAACACGAGGTTATTACAACGTTGACAGCAATGTTAACTATGAACTTTCTGTTGAACCTGGTGAACAGCTTAAAGTTGTTCACAATGCAATGCATAAACGTAAGAAACACATGTTGTTTTTAAACAATGAAAATGTAGAAATAAAAATTCCTTTTGATTGTGTAGCTGGATTTCGTCCTCTTGTTGACAATAAAAAATATTTGTTATCTGAAATACTTCCAAATGAAACTAACGAAACAACCTATCCTTTCTTCTTTGAATTCGAATCAGGAAGTATGTACGGAGGTCTCGGCGTGCTGAAATGTACTTCAGTTTACGATGAAAAATTAATCATTGCTTCTTGTGGGCAGGATGATTTACAAGTTGTTTTTATGATTCCTCAAAACTTTGCAGTTACTGTAAAAATTGCCCTTGGGACTCTTAGAACCGATCCTGATTATGACAATATTAGAAAATCATTTCATAACTTTCAAGAAATTGAACATAGAGTTCATATATCTAGCATGAATAAAATATATAACCGAGAAACTTCTGTAATTTCTGGATTTACATTACCTTCACGAACTAGCACAGTATCTTCTATTGACACAAGCATAAGTACAAACAAAGATTTCCTACTAATTAAACACCCTTCGAATAATATTCAAACGCCTGGTGATGTTTTTACCAATAGTAGCCTGAACAACTATGAATTGTCTATTGCAACAGACTCTGACACCGATCTTGAACTAGCCCAACTTGTCAATAAAAATGATGAAAATGGCGCACGAAAAAGAACTTATGAGTGTTCGGACCAACCGCCAATAAGAAATTCTTCAGCTGTAAGAGACATGAGTGTCAAAGACTTGTGCCACAACTTACAACTCCTAAATATGTCAAAGTATGTAACTATATTTGAAGACAATCAAATCGATGGTGCCTTACTTTGTGAGCTGGGAAAAGAGGAGCTTGCTGATTTAGGACTAAACAAATTTGAAACAAAAAAACTAATTGCCTTTAAGAAAGGATGGCGACCAAATTTAAGTTAAATAAAATATTAATTTTTTTAAAAAAATTACTGTTTAAATACGCGTTTTATATTTATAATAATTCTTTTAAATCGATATGAAATTATTAATTATTTTAAATTTAGGTATAGTTGCAGTTAGATTTTGCATTTTATTAGTGTCGATGGATGCCAATTTTAATGGTGGTACCAATATAGAATTTAGGCAAATTGTTTTTAATCAGTTTTTAAATCAAATGAGTTTTTTTTTGTAATTTTTTTTTCATAAAACGAAGAGAGCGACTAGAAGTCAACATTTTGAGTGTTAACATGGTTTACAAGTTTAGTTTGAAGCCTGAGCGCAGTGGTTAGCGCGCTTGCCTCAGAGGCTTGAGGTTCTTGGTTCAACGCCACCTCTGGGCAAGATTTATAACATTAGCAAGGAACGAGGGGTGAACGTCCTTTCAAATGATCTTCCGCGGTGCACCGTGATATGGCCGTAACGATTTCTTAGGGCACCTAAAATTAAAAAAAACGAAAAGTGACGATAAATATGCTATATTTATAGTATGATTAAACATTGTTCACAGGGTGACGAAACAAATTGCACACATAAATGTGATTAAGCAAGTTATTTTGAGTGCCACGAAATGTGTTTTACGTTATAGTTTTGTTAGCCAATCTTTTCAGAAGGTTAGAGATCGTTGAAAACGAACTGAAAACCGCAACTTTTTCTTTAAAAATGTAAAGCGTTCAACTGCTGATGAGTTATAAACTTTATATGGTCGTGTCTTTTGATACGAAACTATGCTTTTTTTAATTTTTTTATTTTTTTATTTAGATTTATTAAACACCCACTATACAAGTAAGGTAAATTAAGAGTTTCATACAAGATAAATATAAAAAACCTTGGATTTTTTTATTTTTTAACGTGATCATCTTTGATAAAATTTAAAATTGAAGTATTAGCGCAGTTTAATTTTTCCCCTTGAACAAAATTTAGAATGATTCAATTTGTGACCATTGAATGTGTGTGACCATGGAATGTAGAAAAATGTTTCGCTTCTACGCACAAAACACACACAAAAAAAACCTTTAATAATAAAAGACAAATGAAATGCTATAAACGGTATTTTAAATATAATAATTTTTTTCAAAAAAATATTATATTTTTATAATAAAACTAACATATTTGTACGTTTCAGTCAATTTTAAAATAAAGAGTGGCAATTTGTCCAAATATCTAAAGTTAAGGTGCAGTTGGGTCAAATAAATTCACTACTATTATAGCCATGTCTGATAGCAGATTTCGTTTCAAGAAAATTCTTCAAATTTCTAAAAGTAAAGAAGAAATTAACATTTTTACTTACATGTTGTTCATAAACATGGTACTCAAACGATAAAATTATGTTAAGTCATTTTTGTATACATGAATTATTAAAAACTTTTTAATACTGTATTCGTATATAAGGTTTGGGATCAAATTTTTCTCTATTAATTTACTAGTGATCCAAAGGTCCTTTAAATTTCTTTCTCATCAATAGACCTATCAAAACAGCATCATTAGTATTTTTAACCGTTACCGTATATTTTCAACGTTACTGTATATTTTTATACCGTTACCGTATATTTTCAACGTTACTGAATATTTTTATACCGTAATAGTTTAGAAAAGCTTTTAGATATTGCGCCTTTTAAATTTTTTGATAACAAAAGAATGCACTTACAGATAACTTTAAATATGGTGTTGATAAGTTTTGAGGTAAACTTCAATTGGTTATGTTAAAGGAGGTGAAAATGTTTTTTCAGATTAGGATAATTTTTCTCTATATTTCAAACTACATCATGACCTCTTTGTTGACCCGGTGTACGTCTAGCATGATCTCTTTTTGACTCAGTGTACGTCTGGTGCCTTGAAATTGTAGTTCTGATAGGTCAAATATTTTTAATCTATAGAGACTCCTGTTCTAAATCAATACTGTCACATTCAACAGAATTAAAGAAATTCAAATTCCTGAAGGAACACTATTTAGTTACAAGCGTAGATAGGTCAGTAGTGACATTGTAAAACTTATTTAAGTATTATGACTTGTTCATGACATCATTTTAGGCATTCTTCTGTAATTCGAATATTTTCTAATCCAATCTCCCTCTTCATACCTAACACCGCACAACTAAGAAGGTTATTACTATTTTTTAGTTCGTGATGACTTCACTTTTTTTAGGCTTTACAGGTAATTGGTCTAGGTACACTTAAACAGAAAAAACGTTTCCCTCTACTGCTTAAATTATGCCAGTACTGTCACATACAATAGATTTTGCCTTTAATGTTTTTTTTTTTTTGCATAGGTAACAAATAGGTAGACCAACTATTTTACAGTATAAATAATAAAAATTTATTACTTTTATTAGTTGTAGACTTACTTGCAGAACATCTTTATCATAAATATTTAAATTATTACTTAATGCACAGTATTTTTTAAAACTCATTGGGGATACCATGTTTATAACTGTAGAAAAATTACTTATAGATTTATAAGCTTTACCAATTTTTTAAAATGCAGTAACATTTTTAAAATTAACTGATGCTGTAGGAAACCTGGAGTACTTTTGTAGAACACCCGGAGTACTTTTGATATTTAGTACAAAACTGAGATGTATGCTATCCTTTTTTCTGTGAGCAGCAAAAGCATTGTAAATTTAAATAAGAACAAAAACATATTTTGATTTTTAAACCAACTTCATTTCTGCATTCAAGACATTTGAATTCACTAAACATTACTTTAAATATATATAATTTTTAACAATTTATTAATTATTTTCAGTTCCAAAGATTTCAGTGTTAACAACTTTTTGCGAGCTGTCTCATAAACATGAATCAGAAATCACTTGTATCAAGCAGAATATAATTGAAAAACTTTAAATGTCGATTACAAGAAAACATTTTCATTTTAGAAACTATAGTTTACTCTACAATATATAGTATATATAAAAAATTTACACAGAGTTTGAAATTGACAAATTCTTGATTAATTTTTCCACACGTTAAATACAAAACAAAGGAAATATATTTAGTTTTTAAACAAGAAATAAAGAACAAGACTAACAGACAAAGTTTAAATCAAAAAATACAAAAAGTTTTTTATTTCATCAAAAGTTTGATATATAGACTATGATAAATGGTTTGATATTAGGTCTCTGCACGTAGTATTGTTGTAGTTAAAATATAAAAACAGTGATCAGTTTTATCCTTTTTTATACTTTTAACACCTGTGCACAATGCTAAAAGTAATTATACAAATTTATTTATTTACATGACAAATAGTATTTGTCAAATACATTTTTACTTAAATTGTTAGTTGATTTACTTAATAAATATATTTTTGTATAAAATTCTCTGTATTTAAGCATTTTTTTTATATATGATTTCTATGGGATTTACACACAGGGGTTTCATACCCTTTATAAAATACTTTTTTTCACGTGAATAAAAGTATTTTATAAAGTTATTCACGTAATTACGTGAATAAAAATATCAGGAAAACTTCTGAAGTTTTTATTCACGTAAAGTTTTTATTCACGTTTTTATATAAAAACGTGAATAAAAACTTTACGTGAATAAAAATAAATACTTATAAATTTAAATACTTTTATATTTAAAATAAAATATAAAAATAAATACTTATAAATTTAAATGCTTTTATATTTTTAAATATTTTTATATTTATATTACACGTTTTTAAATATTTTAAACATTTTATTCACGTTTTTAAATATTTTTATTCACGTTTTCAAATATTTTTATTCACATTTTTATAAAATATTTTTATTCGCGTAATTACGTGAGTAACTTTATAAAGTTAAGCAATTTACTCAGTAATTGCTCAGCTTTATGTGAATAAAAACTTAATGAAAATTGTTAAACTTTTTATTCACGTAAAGCTGACCAATTACTGAGTAAAAGCAATTGCTTATTTTTATTCACCCGGCCTAATGGATGGATAATTAAAAATTAAATTGTTACTACAAAGATTAACGTGTTAATTAAGTTATGAAATTAAGTAAACAGGTCCACACTTTCCACGAGAGTGTAGAGGTCTGTTTTACTTCTTATTGGGTAACTAAAGTACCGTAACACAGGGTTGTTTTGGCCAGCGGGGTTACTTTGGCCATTTTTAATTAAACAAAACTTTAATTAAACAATTGTAACTTTTAAACAGTAAAGTAACGTTTTACCATTTTTAATAGTAAAACGTTGCTATTTTAAATAGTAAAACGTTACTTAACTGTTTAAAAGTTACAGATGTTTAATTAAACGTTTTAAAAATGGCCAAAGTAGCCCGCTGACAAAAGTAACCCCATGTTACGGTATGTGGCCACTATAATAAAAAAAAGGCATAGCTTGTCTGCTTTATTAGAGCAGACAGTTATATATATATTGATGTATTTCATTTAATTAAGTAATTGAAATTCTTTTCTTTTTATTGCTAAGCCTGCGTATAGTAAACATTCAAAGATTAAGTTATTTTATTGTGTGTTTGACATCAATCCGTTTACCGGTGGAACATTTTTTAACTTGTTTATCTTATTATTTTATTTATCGGGCCAACATCGGCCAGTTGAAGTAAAAAGATGCCGATCTCATACTGATATAAAAGATGTTTATAAAACATCGGGCCAACCTCCATGTGTTACCTGGGTAGTAAATGAGTGTGAAGGCTACTTCACATAAAAAATTGCTGAACATTTTCTACATATTATACAATTTTCCACAAAACAGAAATTTGTCATTTCTTCCGAATGTGTGTTGTGAAATTTAACCCTTTTTTCAACTTTTTTTTTGTTTTTAATCATTTATATATTTATTATATATATATATATATATATATATATATATATATATATATATATATATATATATATATATATATATATATATATATATATATATTATATATATATATATATATATATATATATATATATATTTATATATATATATATATATATATATATATATATATATATATATATATATATATATATATATATATATATATATATACAGTGGCGGACTGGCC